ACCGTTTATAAACAAGTCTCATGTTACCTACTTCTGTTTTAATTTTCTCCTGAAAAGATCTTTCTTGAAATTTATAAGAAGCATGTGTTCCAGAAAAGGAGAATAACTGGAAAAGACATCCCTTAATTTCTCTGAGTGTTTCAGCAAAGAAAATGCTTCAAAGGACAGCATCAAAAGACTATTGCAATCACCCCACCCCTTTCACCAAAGTGAAAAGAACTATAAAGCTCTCGGAGAGCTGCTTCTTACTACCATTTAAAATTAGTCCCGATGGTATTCACTTTGGGATCTGTTGGCAATTGTTCTTATATCAGTTATTACAGAATTGTTTTTCATGTGAACTGGTAATTACGGGGTTTTAGGAATTAAGCTTCTAACCCCAAGCTGGGTAAACTGCTGCTAAAGTGTATATAAAATAATTGAAAACAAAATAAAACTCTCTCTTTAAAATTCATCAATTCCATCATTTAACCTCTATTGTATTTATAAGGCACTTGTACATTTTTTTATATCACTAGGAAACATTTTCATTTGTTTCTGTTTATTGGAAATGAGAGCTCCATTCCTCTAAAGTTATTTGGGCTTAAAAAGCAGTTTTGGTAGTCAGTAGCTTTCGGGCATACTACCCAAAAGTTATTTTTATTATCCAGTCATGAATGAATATATGTGTATGAATTCAGCTGCTGATGGAAAGCTGACTCATCAGGAAATATCACAGTCCTTCCTGCCAGCAGCCATGACTTGTTGAGGAGATGAGTGTCATGAACTAATTTGGTTAACAGTCTGGTCCACCATCACGCATCTCCTGTTACCAACACTCAACCTAGCGGCACTTCTGTCCCCGCCAGTTGTTACTGATTTCCAGTTAAATAAGCCAGAGGTGATTATGCGCATGAAGGAAGAGATTGGCTCTATTCCTTTTTTCTTAACTTTATACTCTGTGAATTCTCTTCAATAATTGGATGTAAAACTATGGCTTTTTAAAGAAAGTGCCACTGGAACTTCCCTGGAAGTACAGCGTGTAAAAATAAATCAACACAAAATAGCAGATCCAACCATACAGAAGTATTTCAGATTATGTTTTGTAAAAGGCCATTAGTGGCACAGCTCAGAAAACGAGAGCACGACATGCTGTACTGTATGGCTCCTGAATGCACTTGAGCAGGAAGTATCTGTTACTTACTCGAGCTGATTCATTAGAACAAAAACGTACTTTAAATTGTGTGTCTTAGAGGAATATATTGTATAAAAGTAGATTTAAAAAGAAAAACAAAAAAAACAGACTGGGATGTTAAGTCATCAACCTGGTGATGATTTAGACCACCGATTCTCCAGTAAGTATTCAATACTGTACTGTGTGCACGGACTTCTCAAATATTCTACAGGTCATTCGGAGGGAGTTTGGGGTGGGGGTGGGTGGAGTGCCAGCCTACAAAGCTAAACCTTTGTGCCTGTGCTTTGCTGCTATGTATAGAATAATCTCTCTTTCTTTTTCCTTTAAATTTGTTTTCCTCTTGCTTCCCAGAGGATTGTGTGGAGGACAATGCAACATAGTGTAAGCTTTGGTCTTCTTATTCTTCCTCTCACCCCCATTTGTCTCCATATGGTCATTCCCGAGAGTTCCTGAGATATTCCACCTTCACCTCCCCTTTCCCAACTGTCTAGAGAGCCAATTGTCTAGAGAGCAACACTGTGCCTGACCAACGGGTTTAGTAACCTTTTCTTTACCTCGTTCTTACGGTTAACAAGCATTTGGCAGCATTTCCCAACAGCAAGGTTTTCAGTCTAAGCTTTGTGTTAAGACTAGCTCATTTGGTGGCTGATTTAAATTCTTTCCCAGTGTTCAGACTATGTGTAGTCTGCCTGAAAAACTAGCTCTTCCCTGATAGACTAGATTGGCTTTCGCTTCTTGTGCTGAGTGAATAATTACCTTGCTGATAATAAAAAACAAACTAAGATCAGCTCTCATTTATAAGGAGTTAATTTTTCCATTAGCCAGGACATAGGGAATTTAAGGGGTTAAGAAATACTTTGTGGTATAGGTTGTTTACTTTTCTTTCCTTGTTTGAATATACTGATATTTTTTTAGAGTATTTAGGGAGGGTATTTTTACTTCAAAGTGGTTTGTACTGGGGCTGAGGACAAGAATGCTGAGGTTCTCTCACCTGACTTTATATATTAACCATAGTAATCATATAGTTATCTAACCTGTTTTTTCTTAATACTATTCCATGCTGGTAATACCCCATAATAAAGGCCTGAACCCTACATACGAGTAGCATCATGGACCCAGGAGAGAAGGTGACTCTCACCTGGTATTTATCCATGCAGCACACCTATGACATCATGGTGCTACCTGTCTGCCTGGCCTTAAATTCAGGCAGTGGTACCACCAAGTCTAGGATTCCTCCTTTAAAATTTGCCTAAAAGGAAGTTGTTCCCTGAGTGGTATTCCCATTCATCATCCCAACTCTCTGAGCCCAGGGCAGTTTTGATGAGATGAGAAAGTTCAGAGGTAAATCTGGAACAGGGATTTCTAGAAGGAAAGACCTTGAGGAAAGAACAGGAGCAACAGATAGCTTAAGGTTACCTGACGTTAAATAGGAAACGGGGGGAGAAAATGTCACCAGCGGCACAGGCCAGGGTTCTATTAGTTTGGTCCAATTGCTATAACTAGGGTGGTATGTGCCTGCCCTTCTCAACACATTCTCTTGATAACTCCAGATTTTCCAGCAGTTGAACCAGTCCCATTGCCTTATCTGATGGTTATCATTATCCTTGTAGCTTTCCCCCAAGAGGACTGACTTGTTGAACATGCTGGAACGAATGTAAATCATAATATCTCCCCGCACCCCACTCCATCTCCTGAACTTCTCTGCTTGCCTCCTATAATGTAATCTTCTCTAGGGGGAAAAAAATCAGATGTCCATTATTGGATATGATTCTTTCAAAAAAGTACAATGCAACTTTTGAAATTTATTCGTATGCCATTGGTGAAAGCGTGTTATTAATATTGTTGCATGTAGATTTAAGTACTTGCAAAATATCAAGATATGCGCTTTATTGTATTGTTCTGAAACAAAACGGACAAAGCATCTCACATTCGGGCATCATTTCCTGCCTGATGATTAATACCAGTTTCAGAGTAAAGTGCTGGTCATAAAAATGTTCTTCCATGCCTCTTTGGGGCTATTTTGGTGTGATTTAGGAAGTCTTGGTTGTAAGGATTCAGGAAACTGTCTGTTGTTCATTTTAAATTGCCATGGCATTTCATTGTCACCTCCAAGGATCCTGCATCCGGCTCAGTCCACTCGTTTGCATTTCAAAAGGATGTCAGGCTGTTTAAGAAACTGTTTTATTATCTACAGCCTCAGCCACTGTCTTTGGGTGAAACTGATATTTTCCACCTCCCACCTCCACACACACACACACACACACACACACACACACACACACACACACACACTTCAGCCTTTGCTCGGCCCGTACAATAAATAAATAAATAAATAAAAACTCAATAACAACAGTGGACCAGATTCTCCACTTTAATTAGTTTTCCAAAGATAAATGGGTCAAGGCCAGATTGGCTTTCCGCCTCTGCTTCAGCTGAATAAATTATGCCCCATTCACCCCAGCAAACAAACAGCTACTGCTCAGTCCACTTCAGATTGTGAACTGCCTGGTCTTGCCTGAACATGCTTTATCTGTTTGCTGCTAAACCCCACTGAGACACCCCAGTTTCATTTTCAATGAACCCTTGGTAATAACAGCAGCAAAATACAGTGAGCTTTCAAAGCAGGGAGAAAATACAAAACATTAAAACCAAACCACCCAACTCATTCGGTCTCAGTTTCTGCTTTCTGCCCTTCTCCAGGCGATATCAGCAGCATGTGGCAGCAGAGAGAGTCATCTGACACAAGCTTCTTTCCATTTAGGAGGCTTGTGGTTGATGAGGCCCAAGTGGTGACTGTCATAAGAAACACATATAAAGTGATGGCTTATCTCCAGGACGTTCTGCTTATTCCACAGGCTTGAAAGTTACACAAATCTAATTCAGTGGTATGCACTGTTGGAAGCCTGGGTTGAATGCCTGCTCCTTATGTGGAATTCTCAGCTCACACCCAATGGACAGTGGACTGTTTTTACATCCTTGGGAAGCTATTATTTCAGGCTTGTGGAAGAATAGTGAAAATAGGAGGTGCATAGACATTTCTTGCAGCTCAGGCAAGGCTGTGTTTAATTGCTGTGGGTCATATACCACAGGGAGAAAGAAAGGAATAACCACGCTGGCTGCAGAATTCCCTGGGAGATGCTAGCGCTCAGTCCACACCACACAGCCTTAGACACATTCAGACAATCATACGCATTCCAACAATAAAAGAAAGTCATGCCACGTGTTTTAATTGGGGAAAGTTTTGCACAGCTTCTGTTAGATATAAGTGGTCTGCAATCATTTTGGAGGTAGTTTTACCAACAAAACCATTTGCAACTCTGTGTTAAATTCTCCTTTGTCCTCTGAAACACTTAAACAAGAGCTTTGCTGACCTCTAACTATATCATAAAAAGGAAATGTTACACTTTAAGACCCCAAATACGGCTATAGAGATTTTACATCTATTTTATGGTATGTTGATATGCTTATTTTCCTCTTCAAACTTGAAAATTTCTTTCATAATTCCTAGACTTCTGCTAAACGCAAACTGATGTATCCTATAGGTATCAATCAATCAACAACTATACTTATTATATTCTTCTCTGTTGCATAGCACTTAGTAACACTAACTACCATGTATGGTCCACATCATAACATGTGGTTAGTGCTAGCATCATCAAAAAGGCAAGAATTACTGTTTGCACAAAAATATCGCTTATCAAATTACTTCAACACACTGTGTCTCCTCTAGGGAATAGCATCAAGTATAAAGTCTCATAAAATGTTAGCATGCAGGAAAGAGGATTTTGATTTTGTAATCTAACATAGACTACACCCATAAAGAATATGTGGAAGGTATATGAACAAATGAGTTATCATTGACCAAATATGCAAACTGGAAACATTAAACATCTGTAGCATCTTTGATATAGGCCATATTTTATAGCTCATTCTCCCATCTGATGCCAAAACATTTGCCCATATCTTGTACAAATTAAACAGAAATTTGGTTGTCAGTCCTGCACTGGTCATATGAAAAAGTCCATATGCACCCTCATTCTCAGTATTTGTCCTTTATTCAGCTATGTGATAGGTGTTTTGGTAACTTGATTATGAAAGCCTACATAGACAAGCCATACTACACTGCTCAAACTCATGAGAGATATTATCGCTTGACATAGACCTTTCATTAAATTATTGAACAGCTTAAAGAACCTTTCGCTTGTCACGGAAAATCTGCAATAATTTTTTCTCAGAGCTGTCTGAGAGACACTAGCACCACAACTCCCAAATGTGATGTTCACGCTTATGAGAGAGAGAGCTGAAGAAATAGGATATTTCATAAATACCAGTTTTGATGTATTTTCTGTATAATCAATCAGCTTTTAACTGGCTCTGGGGCCTATGGAATACATTTGAAAGCACTGGGAATTTGGCTATTCTCATAACATACTTGGACACTCTTTAATGCTAGCAATAAACCTCAGGCATAAACATTGTGGAGAAAACCAGATGAGAAGAAACCTGTTTGAGTGAAAATTGACTTCCCTTCATAAATGTTAAAGGTAGAAAGATATCCGCAATACACAATAATTTTATTACTTAAGCTCATTCATGGTCATTATTGTCAAGGGCTCTGACTGCCTGAGTACTTTCTTACTAAAAGACTGGCCAACCTATTAAAAAAAAGTCAGGTTGACAGTAAATGAATGAAACAGCAGCTGCGGCAATACCACTATATTGCTGGCTAACAAATAATTTTTCAGAAGTTGGATTTGTCTAATATCTTTGGAAGCTTTTCCAATACTGTATCGATCCGGATAAGCCAAGCTAGGCAATGCAGCACCTGCAAACACACATCCCACTCCGCTCTCCCCACATGGCTTGCAGCAACACAAGTTTATTTTTTTGTTCATGCCAAATACCATTTACCATTTTGGGTTGGCTGTGGGTCAGCTACACATGACCATCACCCTCACTCCAAGGCCCAGGGTGACAGAGCAGGCATGATTGGGAGCCTCACCTGTTCCAGTAACAGGGAAAATTGAGAACATGGTGAAGGTGGCCATTGAAGCCTCCACCTAGAAGGGGCACAGCACACACTGTTCACATCTCATTGGCCAAAGCAGGTCACATGACCCAGTCAAGATGGCAGGGATGTGTGTCCCTCTGTGTCTCATGCAGAGACTGAAAATGGACGAGTTAGTGGACAGTAATATTGTCAACTGCAAACATATATGACCAAGGAAAGATTTTTAAATTCATAAAAATCTATTTCATTACTCTCTCCAACTCTAAGACAAACCTTATTTGAATAAGAGAAAAATCAATTATTTATTCAATAAATATTTACTGGGCACTAATAGACATCAATTATAGGGGACTAGAACATAATCAAATGG